CGGCCCGCGGTGCCGGTGCCCCCCGCTCGGGCGGCCGCAGCCCCCCGAAGGTCGCCGCCGCCGCCGTGCGAGCGGGCGGTTATTTTTAGGCCGGGGCTCGGGTTGCCGCCTGCCCCGCGGCCACGCGCGGCGCGGGCCCCCGCGCTCCCAGCCCGCAGCCCCCGGCCCGGCCCATGCCGCCGCACCTGCTGCTCCGCCGCCTTGGTCGGGTGCAGCTCCCGCGGGCGCCGGCTCCCCCCGCTGCTGGGGCCCCGGCGTCCCCCGGCCCGCGGCGCGCAGCCCCTGCAGAGCTGCGCTCCCTCTGCCCCCTCTCCTCAAGTGGCAGCTGCCTCTGATATGTCACATTCCTTGGCCGGGCTCCCCCGCGCAGCGCCCAGCGCCGGCCCTGCCGCCGGCTCCGCTTGCACAGATAGCGGAGGGGCCTTGCCATATTAGCAGCGCGCGGAGGGAGGGGGGGCCCGGCCTTCCTTCCCCCCCATCCCCGTCGCTGGCCGTGTCACCGGATCTGGACACAGAGACCCTGGTGGCATGTGAAGGGAAAGGACACCGCGATGCTTCCTGCAACGCGAGCCCCCGCGGGCTGCGTCTCCCGGCGGGCGCAGGAGCCGGCGCGGCGGGACCCTTTGCTCCGTGCCCCCCGCGCTGAGCCTGCACCCAGCAGGGAGCTCGCCCGGGGGTTCCCTGCACCCCTCCTCACCCCAAATCAGCCCCAAGCACACTGAAATCACATTTGCCCACAGAGCACCCTCACCTCCTTTCCCCGGAGTGCGGAGCCATGGGAAGGTCTTGCCAGCGCCTCCACACTCTGCCCAGGGCAAGGAGCGCAGGATCCCGCCTCTGTCGGCCTCCCCCGGGCTGCAGGGCTTCCCCGGCTGCTGGATTTACAGCACGCGGCTCCAGCCGCCCTCTCCAGGGCTGTAAATCCGGGCAAGCTGGACGTTAACAGCACGGCACACTGCTTCCCGGCTGCAGGGCAGCGTGGCGGCACTTGGCCACCAGCCCCAGGACGGGGCGCTTTCAGCAGCACCTCCTTGGACAGGAGGCCTCCGGTCCCAACCCGAGCGGGCTGCCCCACGGGCCACCACATCCCTCATCGCTCCGGCTGAGCAGCCCGGGGACACGGCCAGAGCCAGGGAGCACCATGGAGCAGTCAGCAAGCGCCCGGTGCTGGTGCTGGAGGGGCAGCCTGGAAGGGCCTGAGGGGTCTCTCCACGGCGCATGAAGGTGACTGCAGCCCAGCACACAGGGCTGCTCCTTCCCCCCCATCCCCACGCTGCCGCCTGGCCCTTCACCCCCAGGAGGAAAGGCTCAGGGGGGCGCTGGGGACGGCAGGACACAACGCAGCCCCCATGGCAGGGCTGCACAGGGTGGCTGCAAAGGCCTGCGCAAGGTGGGGGACAGGGAAGGTCCCTGGTGGCACCCAGCTGCAGAGGGCAGGGGACAGAGCCCTGGCCCTGGCTCCAGGGATGGAGGTGGCCCCTGACGTAAACCCTCCCCGGGGACCGTCCTCGGTGTCACAGGGCCACCTGCTGGAGATGGGCCTTGAGACACAGAGCCCCAGCGCCCCAGCACCCGCTCTGGGATGAGCCACACCGCAGGCTGGCCCCATGCTGGGTGTCCCTTCAGGAGTTACCCACGGCCACTGCTAGTAGCACCCCGAGTTGGGGATGTGGCTCAAACATCCACCTCTCACCCTCACCCCAACCCCACCACCCTCCCTGGGTCCCCTGCCAAGGGACTTTCAACATTCCCTCGGTCAGAGCGATCCTAAATCTCCGCAACCAGCGGGATGCTGAGCCCGAGGCTCCCGCTCTGTGTCCCCCTGCACCGCGGGCCAGAGGAGCCGGAGCGAAGCCCGGGTGGTGCCGGCGCAGGGAGGGATGAGGAGGGCTCTGTATGTGTGTGCAGCGACCCCTGAGCAGCAGAGCAGCCCTGGGCCAGGCCCCGCGCCCCCCACGTCATGCTGCTGTGCCCAGCACGGCCGTGTCCCCTCTACCCATACGGGGAGCAGCATCAGCACGAGGGAAAGCTGCCCGGGGCAGCCGCAGGAGGCAGCTCCGGGGCCCGCGGCGCTCCATCCTGCCATCCCTCGTGGTGCTCCATCCTGCCATCCCTCCTGGTGCTCCATCCCACCATCCCTCGCGGTGCTCCATCCCACCATCCCTCACCGTGCTCCATCCCGCCATCCCTCACAGTGCTCCATCCCACCATCCCTCACCGTGCTCCATCCCACCATCCCTCACAGTGCTCCATCCCACCATCCCTCATGGTGCTCTGTCCCACCATCCCGACAGCCCTCCCGGCTTGGCGCCGGGGTGCCCCGGCGGAGCTTCCCCCGCCCGGTGCCACCGCAGACACGTGCCCGGAGGACAGGGCCATGCTCCACTGTTTATTTCGGCCGCCTGGAAGACTCGCGTACACGCGGTGGGGTGGTGCGGTGGGGCGAGGGGTGGGGGTGCCCGCCGGCCCCCTGGGCCTCTCTCCGGCTCCTGTCTCTCTCTCCCCCCTCTCTCCCACTCACTCACTCCTTCTCTCGCCTGTGTCCACCTACGGGTTTCCTCTCTTGGCTCCCTGAGCCTGCCCCCAGCGCAGCCTCCTGCAGCCGGGGACTCCCGCGCCCCCCGGCAGCCGGGGGGCACGGTGTGGGGCAGCCCCTGCCAGGGGAGCCGCCAGCAGAGCCGTGTCCCCCGGCGCCGAGCGCAGGGGGACGGGCACTGCCCGCCGCCCCTCTGGGGCATGGGGGGTGCCGGTCTCTGCGCCCCGTGTGGGGGTGATGCAGGCTGGGAGCACCCTGGCTTCAAGCCAGGCTGGGAGCGGGGGGCTCAGCCAGTCCCCATCTCCTCCCTGTCCCCAGCGTCACTGCCCTCTGCCAGGAGAAATTCCAGCTCCGAGGAGGCCAGCGGTGCCGGCGCGGGGCGACGGGTCCCTGCTCCTGCAGGATGAATCCCAAGTCTGTGCCCGGCATGGGCATGGGGAGGGGGTCCAGGGGGGCGGGGGGATCCAGAACCTGCTGCTGGGACCATCCGGCTCTCTGGGGAGCTGGCAGAGGCCACCACCTGCTCCCCCCACCCGCTGCTGCCTCTCCCCTCCGTCCCGCTGGGCCGCCCCCAGGCCCAGCCCTGATCCTGATGCTGGCATTCCCGCTGCAAAGCTGCCAAAGCCGAGCGCGCGCTTCCAAGCCGGAGGAGAGAGCCCGGGGGGCGTGAGGGGCAGGGGGTCCGGGGGCATCCGGCAGTGCCAGGGCAGCGGGGCAGGGGGGGAGCGGGCCGGGGCTCGGCACCGGGGGCGGCGGGACGGAGGCAGGGATGGATGGAAGGTGTCGATGGGCCGCCGCGCAGCGTCGTCTACAGCACTTCATGCTGCTGCTGGGTCGCCTCGCTCACCACCTGCCGGGAGAGACGTGCCCTGAGACGCAGAGCCCGGCACCGCGATGGGCAGAGCCCGCGCGCAGCCCTGGCGGGCACCCAGCCCCCGGCTCCATCGCGGCTACAGCCCCCAGCCCCGGCACGTGCTGCACCAGCGCCTTCCCGCTCTTCCCACGGCTGCAGGCACCAGGAATACATGGCCTGTGGGCTAGAATCCCCCCCAGACAACAGTACCTTGCCTGGGGGCAGGAGCCCACCCCTGCCCTTGTGCCCCATGGGCTCTCTTGGCCCCAGGGCACTGCCCCGCGCTCACCTCTCCATCACGCGTTTCAATGGTTTTGATCATCACGGTCTTCTTGGTGTGCACCTCAGAGCCCCGCTGCTCTGGGCTGGTCTCTGCAGGCAGGAGGACATGGGGGATGTGGGTGACAGGCACCAGGGGCACATGCAGTGGGGACAAAGAGCACTTGGGCTGGGGACAGTGGGGAGATGCCCGGCACATGGGTGTCCCCAAGGGCCACGGACTTCAGGACCTCAGGGTTAACTCCAGCCCCACCTCAGTTCATGGCAAGCACCCTATGAGTGTTGACACCCCATGAGCTCAACATGGGACCCTGCAAGCTGGGGGGTGAGGGTGGGAGGCCACTGCCTGTCAGCCCAGCCCAGCTGCATCCCTCCAGGAGGAGATTGTCCCCATAGTCCCTCCCATGCTAGGGAACCCCCGGGACTTGACCCAGACTCCACGCAAATGTCCCCCCTCATGCGGTAGCACTCACCTCGGAAATTGAGGGCAGAAGCAAAGGTCTGGTGCATGGGGATGCTGATCCTGCAGGGAGACAGATGGGAGAGTTCAGGGCCAGCCCATGCAGCCAGCCCTGGCCCACAGAGCCATGGGAGTGGGACTGGCTTATGAAAGGATGGGCATGGGGTGACAGTCCCCAAAAGAGCCCCCCCTTCCAGGTGTCCCTGTCGCACTGCTCACCGGTTTTCCTCGCCCTCCAGCAGCTTGCGGTACGTGGCAATCTCCACATCCAGGGCCATCTTGACATTGAGCAGGTCCTGGTACTCCCGCAGGTGCCGGGCCATCTCATCCTTGAGGTGCCGGATCTCCTCCTCCAGCCGCGCGATGGTGTCCTGGTAGCCGCTGGCCTCGCCGGCGAAGCGCTCCTCCATCTCCCGCATCTGGCGCATCAGCGAGTCGTTCTGCAAGGATAGCGGGGCTCAGCGCTGGGGCTCAACAGTCTCCAGAGGGCCAAAAAGCCTCTGGAAAGCAAGGTGAGCCCAGGCCCCAGCAAGGGCTGAGCTGCCTGGGGGTGAAGATGAGGATGGGGAGGGAGCCCAGGCTGCTGCTGGCACCCACCAGCTCTCAAGACTCCCCTCACTTTAGTGGTACCAGAGCAGGACTCTTTGCAACCACGTTCCCACCTGCAACCAGACACCCGGAGCCTCCCGGGCTCAGGCACATTTGCCATCTCTGTGCTCTTGCCCCTGAGCTCTGCCAAAATACGCTGCAGAGGCCCAGAGTGTGGCCAGGAGATGCACAGGGCCTGGCACTGCCCAGAGCAGATTGTGTGGGCACGTCCCCAGTAACAACAACCATAACATCTTGGAAGAACCCCCCATGCTGGTCACATCTCGAGCTCCCGGAGCAGGTCCTGGCAGGGGAAGTGCAGGCTGTCCCCGCACACCCTGCAGCTCACCGTGCCCTTGAGGGCATCGATCTCGCAGGTGTAGGACTGGATCTGGTGCCGGTACTCCAGCATCTCCTGTTTCGCCTGCCGCAGCGCATCGTTGTTCTTGTTGGCCGCTTGTGTCAGGTCAGACACCTGGGGAGACAGCAGGGTCAGCTGCCAGGCTGCACGGGACCGCGGGGACCCGGCCACCCACCATGCCGGGCCCACCCCGTGCTCAGGCCGGTCCCCACCACCTCCGCACCTTGGACTTGTACCACTCCTCGGCCTCGGCGATGTTCTTGGCAGCGATGCTCTCGTACTGCGCGCGGATGTCTCGCAGAGCAGCCGTCAGGTCCGGCTTGGAGATGTCCATCTCCACCTGGATGTGCTGCTCCTGCAGCTGCGCCTGCAGCTCCCGGATTTCCTGGGGAGCACAGGGACATGTCAGAGCACCCGCTCCTTCCCTCAGCCCGCTCTGCGCCCAGGGAAAACCGACCCACGCCGACGTACCTCTTCGTGCACCTTCTTGAGGAAGGCGATCTCCTCCTGCAGGGACTCGATGCGCCTCTCCAGGTCGATGCGTGCTAGGGTGGCGGCATCCACATCCTGGGGGACACGGAGGGCGATGGGGTAGCAGTGGGGGCGAGTGCAGCCGGGGGCACAGGGGCTGGAGCTGCCCAAGCTGCCCAGGCTGCGGCACCTCAGGGGCTGCCTGGCTGCTCAGTGCTATGCGCAGGCGGCCACAAGGGCCAGGGGCCGGTGGCCGTGCCCTGGTGCTGGGGATGTGGCAGCTGGGGCCGCAGCCCTGCCTGGGGGTCTGGCTGCCAGGGAGCTGTGGGGAGAGACTGGGCACCCTGGGAGGGGGCCAGGAAGCTCCAGGGGACGGGTACTCACGGCTCTGAAGGCAGCCAGGTTGTTCTCAGCCTCCTCCTTCAGCTGAATCTCCTCTTGCAGCCTGAGGGCAGAGAGGAGGCATTAGGGGGACCTGGACGGAGCCCTGTCCCCTTGCAGCCGTGTCCCTGTGCGCTGCCCCTGCGCTCAGCACGGCCTGGTGGGAACACAGCGGATTGTCCCGGATCCCGGCGGGTGGAGGGAGGGCTGGCTGGGGGCCAGGGGCGCTTCCTCCCATTCCCTATTATAGTCATCGCCAGAGGGAGCACAAAGGCATGAGGTCAGCTCGGTGCCACTCGCACTGCCCCGGCCCTTATAGGGGAGCGTGGCCGGCAGCCGGGGCCAGGGTGCCTGTGTCCCCACACAGGGGGTCGGGGGGCCCCAGAGGTGGCCCCGGGCAGGGAAAGGGGGTGATCCCGGCTGAGCCATCCCAGGGATGGCAGAAACAAGGGCGGGCACCAGACACTCAATGTGGGGCACGGGACAGCGCAGGGACTCACGGCGGGGCAGGACAAGGACCTCAGCTGTGCCGTGGGTCTGGGGCAGTGCCGGGTCATGGAGGGGGGACCAGGGCAGGTGCCCTGGGGCTGTGTCCCTGGGGCAGGGCCTGGGCTGCTGGGGAGAGGACGCGGAGAGCACAGGGAAGTGCCCGGGTGGTGCCCGCGGGGCTGTTGGCACAGCAGGGCCCAGGGGAACCTGACACCGGCCACTTCCCGCCCCGCTCCTCCCTGGCTTTCGGGGTGCTCAGCCCCCAGCCCCATGCTGGGACGGCGCTGGGGCTGGCACCGCGTGCGGGGCACTGCAGCCCTGCCCCACTGTGGGCCCCATGTGTCTGTGCCAGGCGCTGGCACCCAGGGGAGCAGCAGGTTGTGCCACCCCTGGCAGAGGGGCTGGAGCCTCCACTCCGTGTCCCTTTGTCCCGGCAGCACAGGAGGGAGGGAGCACATCAGCACTGGAGGCTGTGCAGAAGCCAGCGGCTGGTGCCCACGGGGTCCCCACACAGCCTCGGCCCCGCTGTCCCCAGCAGGGACAGGGCTGTCGCCAGGGATGTCCCCCCGTGCCCTCCCGCCAGCCCCCGCAGCCAAGCACGGCCGGCCTGCGGAAACGCGGCCTCTTCCTCCCCCTCCTTGGCGTCCGGAGCCAGCAGAGCGTCGTCCGCCCCCGCCTCCGCCTCCGTCCCAGCCCGGCCGGCCGGCTGAGCCGAGCGCGGCCGCTCCACGCAGCGGGGCCGGGGTCCCCGGGAAGCTGCAGCCGTGCTGGGCCGGGTCTCCCCATGGGTGCCGGCTCCATGTCCCCACATCCCAGCCTGGCGGACACCCACCGGGTGCTTGCAGGCACAGGGGCACGGGAGGATGCAGTGCTCCGGGGCAGCCCTGCGTGCTGGGCGCTCATGGCAGTGCGTGAGGGCCAGCACGGGCTGGCGGCGGCTCTTCGGGCTGCCCTAATGGGCGCTGCAGGCCTGGGCACCTCTCTCACCCTGCCCGTGCCACTGGGCCAGCCTCCATCCCCTCCTGCCTGGGGCCACGGACTCGGGAGCTCCCGGACTGGGTAGGTGGCCCAGGGCGCCTGTCTCCCTCCCAGGACTCACAGCCATGGCCAGGAGGTGGCACAGGCCACCTCGCACCGAGCCGGGCGGATGGGTCCCCAGAGGGCAGCCAGAGAGAGGCCCCGCGGTGCCGCGCTCCACCCAGGACATGGGGCAGGGGGTGGCACGGAGCCCCACGACAGGCTCGGGGATCTGGGAAGCGGAGCAGGGCGCTAAGACAGCACTAAACCCCCAAGGGGACCCTGGCACGGAGGGAGGCCGGGGAGGCCGGCGGGGCGGCCCTCACCTCTGCTTGAGCTTCTGCAGGTCGTCGAGGAGGTTGTCGCGCTCGACCTCGACGCGCGCCCGCTGGCCGGTGAGCGCGTCCACCTGGCGCCGCAGCTCACGCAGCTCCTCCTCGTACATCTCGGCGACGCGCGTGGGCTCCTTGCCCCGCAGGCGGTTCACCTCGGCCACCATGAGCGCGTTCTGCTGCTCCAGGAAGCGCACCTTCTCGATGTAGTTGGCGAAGCGGTCGTTGAGCTCCTGCAGCTCCACCTTCTCGTTGGTGCGGGTCTGCAGGAACTCCTGGTTCATGGCGTCGGCCAGGCTGAAGTCGAGCAGCTCGCCGGCGCCCTGGTAGGCGCTCTGGTAGGAGCGCAGCGGCGTCACGCGCGTGGTGCGGAAGCTGGACAGGCTGGGCATGGCCGAGGTGCGGGACACCTGGTAGACGCGGGAGGTGACGGAGCTGCCGCTGCCTTTGCCCCCGAAGGAGGCGCGGGAGAAGACGGGCGAGGCGCCGCCGAACGTGCGGCGGTAGGAAGAGACCCGCTGGCTGGAGGAGTAGGACTGGCTCATGGTG